AACCCACTAAGTCTTCCTTGTACATCACTAACTACATAAGTTATTTGACCTAGTACCAAATTTAATTAGCACATTAAAGCAAAACTAAGAAAGCAAGGATGGACTATCTGTGAAGATCAGATTTTACAAAAAATCCCAAGCACCAAGATCAAAGATTTGGTATTTCTTCTATAACAACATTCAGCGGCCCACAGAAAAGGTGACAGATTACACAATTATTAATATAATTTGCTGCAACACAACACTGCAAAAAAGCAAATGCCAATTTCAGAAAAACAGTCACCTTGCAGAGATTAAAAGAGAAACAACACAGAAATTACTACAAAATTAAATGCTTTTGCACTAAACTCTGGATTAAACTCTGGATTAAAGGCTTTTTCTCCCCCTTAATTCACTACTTCTTTAAGGGTGGGGTGGAAGAGAACAGTACAAGACAAATTTTGGTGTCGTTTTTATTGTAAAACTCTGTTTAATAAGTTTATTACTGAACACACTTTCATCAGCACCAAACACTACCAGACCAATGTCTTAACCCTGGTTTAAGTCGGTTTAATGGATCAGGCAAGCTAAGTGCCGTATTATAGAACACTGATTCTTGTACAGTTATGTCCAAGAATAAAACAATTTGAAAAGCTCACAAAAATTTAAGGTGGCAGGTAGATTTGAGGTTTGATGCTTTTTTTTTTCTTTAGCACACCATTCTGTGCTTCTATAACAAAAAAGCACTATTTTACCTTTGGAGAACAAATATAGTATGTTTTGAAGCAAAAATATTTGGTAATTGGATATACTGACAACCAGAGGAGGAGATTAGCCTAAATAAACCAGTATCCTTTCCCAATGAAACAAAACTGATTGGTTTTCAGTAATTTGTTAAATTAAAATGCTTTCTATTACTTCCCAAAGAACAGTACCCTCATAGTATTTGTTCTGCTGGAAAGGTATCCTTCCATAAGGACTTTGTTACTCATTTTTTTCCACTAATCAAAAGAAGTATATATAAAATGCTCCTTTTTTTTTTTTTTTATCTAGAAAGGAAACACATTTCAGGTTGACAGGACATTAAATAGCTCATTTGCTGTGAAAGAAGAAAATGTGACTGCATGTTGTGAACTGCAGCGATATTCTGTTACTTTTTTCCTGTGGGAAATGGGCAATTCCACAGGCTGTACAAATAGGCTAATTAAACAAAGCATATGTACTAAAGACATTTACTCAACACTAAAGCCAAGCATAGAGCTTTACCATTTTACCAGTTCAAGCAACATAGAAAGCTGTGTGGATTTAGCCGAAACTGATTACAGCTTTCAGCTGAAAGAAGGTGCCAGTTTGCCCCAAAATGAGCTCATACACAAAGTGCTGTTTCTCCAGATTTAACTGGAGCTTTGTCCTAAAACCACCTCCCATTCACCACTGCTGGAGGTGAACACTCCTGCAGTTCTTCTGCTGGGAACACCTTAGGTACAAGCTTATGCATCATTTCCTTTAGGCTTGGTTATCCCAAACCATCTCACCAAGCTAATTAAGCCACGTGGTTACTGTGCTTTAAACACATTCTGGAGCACACATGAACTGCTCTTAGAAAAAAGGATGCAGACAGTGACTGACTGCCAGCAACAAAGCAGCAAGTGACAGCTGGGCCCTCAAACAGTACATCCACTGGCAAAACAAACACCTGCCCTACAGCAACAGTTTACAGTGGAATCTGCATCCCTGGAATTAAGATCAGTTAATTGACTGCAAATTCATTTGTAGGTTGGTTTTCAGGAAACAAAAAAACTTTTTGTACTCTTCAGTCTGTAGATTTTTCTTCAAAAAAATTTCTTCAAAATATAAAGTTTGGTTTTTTTATACTGAAGAGCTCTGAACAGTTAAAATACACTTTATGGTTAAATAACTAATTTTCAATTTTGTATTTAATATATCTTTTCATCTCATGTCTTTTCAACAGCCCTTATAAAACAGAAATGAAACTACTTACTGGTTGCATAGCTCTGGCTGTCTAACTAAATTTTGAATGAATTCATTCAGTCCTGCTCTTCTCTGTTTAATAAAATCTGAAAAAAATAGATTTATTAGAATCATCAGTCAGCTTGTGAAAAAGACTTATTTTTTTATTCAAGTTTTTTAGGATTTAAAACAGCAGTTAAAAGGAGACTGGCCTATGACTGATTTAGAACAGGATTGGTTCCACATATGAAAACTGCAAGCTTGAAACACTGAGCTGAAAGAAGAAATTTCAGTTTTTTCTGCAACACTACTTAAAAACCTTGAAAGCCAGGTGGATTAGAAGTGCCACCTTGTGCTTCAAGAACAGTGTTTAATCATAGCAGACTAACCTGTGCAGCCTTCGTTGCACGGGTGAGCCCTTCGGAATCTGATTCCACAGGAATGAAAACCCCAAGAACCCACAGGCAAAACCTGACATCGGTTGAGCAAGTCAAGTTTTTACATGAACAGTCCCACCAAGCAGCATATTTCCAAAATATATGTATGGCAGGGGGAAAATTGCACAATTCATCCTGCCAGCAGGCACCCAAATAGACCCATCAAAGATAACAAAATGAAATGCTTTCCTTTAGATTTTGGACATCAGCTCCAACATTAAAAAAAGGTAATCCTCAGAATCCCTTCCCTTATCTAAAGCTTAAGACATGTAACTGTTCCGTAGCAACATGGAAAGATACACAAAGGATTTAGAATAGAAAGCGAGTTCTAACATAAAGTGTAAAATGGAATAATCTTATCTTTCATTACTCATATTGACAATAATTTGTATGGAAAAAGAATGTTTAACTCATGCACTTACTTTTAAGGCATTCCAGTGATTGTCATATCCAGATTATTGACAATTATTAAAATTGTAAATTAAAATTTATGTTTTAATTAACAACTGTATTTAAAATATTAAGAAAAATGTCCATATTGTTCGAGGGATATAATCCCTGACCCTTCCCTAGGGTATTTAATAATCCCAAATTACTGACATCTAACAAAAAAGTTAAATTTGCATACAGATATGATGTTAAGGGAGCGAACAACATCAGCAGTTTCAGGGTGGCAGATGTACAGTGTCATCAGTCACTATAAGCCTACAGGACTCTCCATGCTGGTGAAGATAAAACACCTGTAACATCTGACATTTTCAGGTTCTGTGTTCTGACTGGTTTCTGTTCCATTTTTTCAAGTTAAAACAAGATTAATTTTAAAATAACCTATGTACCAATAAAATTGGAGCATTTAAATGGCGATTTAAATGACAGTATTTTTGGTAGATTTGGGTAAAGGGATATAAAGATCTCACTCCACTGCATTTTAATGCAGTAGTACAATGCTGCATACCCATGGATGGATTACAGAAATAAAATACCTTTTCAATATTTGTAAAATATGCTAACTTGTTTCAGGAGCCAGCAGAAACACTACATCAAAGCTTCAATAAATCAGTGTTAAGAAAAAGAATTATTTACATAAGCATCATGGCTCCATCTCCACCTTGCCTCCCAGCAAGAAACATCTTGAGAACTATTTAGTTTCTCATGCTTCAATGATTTCAGCACAGTTCACGGAAATTTAAAACTAGTTTGAGGACTTTGTTTTACATATATAATTTAAATAAAGTTTTAGTTGAGGTTTTTTCCCCCCATTAAAACTCCAGTTTCCTAAATTTGGCTTCAAGAAATCCACCTGCATATTTGCCTGAACAGCAAACCAGACTGCATGGCATTCTCTGGTCTTCAGCCAGCTCTAAAAATCACAAGGTCAGAGAAAAGGAACCGGAACTAAACAAGAAATCCCTGTAGACAAAATACATGTAGAACTTTTGGCAATCATTTACATCTTTATCAAAAGAGAACATCAGAGCTTGAATACTTGTGTTTGATTACTCTAATAAAAAATAAAATGGGATTTCACATCAGGACCCATATAATTAACTGCAACTGCCGAAAACTAGGTTCGTTTGTCGGAACTTTAAAAACCCAAACCGGGTCCAAAAAGCATCAGGAATAGCCTGAAGTAAAAATGGCTTGAATGAATAGTACAAACACACAGAGCAATGGCCTGGCCTTTCCATTTGCCTTTTTAGTTATTCACCCGTGGTGCCACCCAGGTTACTTCAAGGCACTTTACAAGTGACTTTGATTAGTATTTTGCTGTGTACAGAGCAAGCTAAACGGGGACCTATCACTGGTAACTGGAGCACAACACGTTCACATTGCACACGCTTCCTGTTGTTGTTCCACTTACAGAAGAAGTCCATTTTCACCTAAACTGTACAAGGAAGCACATTTAGATACAGAGAGTTCAAAAGTCCTCAAAGATAAATCCTTGAGTTATTTCATTTCTCAGAGGAGGTGGTGGGGGAAATCACACAAAGAAAGTTTAAAATGGACTACGTGTAAGGCTTAGGAAGAGTCTGGGGTTTGGCTTTTGCTTTTATAGGAGGGAGATCACACCTGACAGTTCAGAATCAGAATCAGAACACAGGAGGGTTGGGAGGAGCTATAGCCTTCAGTGCAAGAGAGGCACTGGGCGACCAAGCAATGCTTTGTTCACTGTCACAAGGTAAAACACCTACCCACACTAGATCCTGCTCTTGACTGAAGCATGACTAAACTTTGCTTTAGTCACTGTTTTGAGGACCGCTGCAAAACTCATCTAAGATAGCTTCCTGTAGGCTGGAATAGATCAATTTTCATATAAAGAAACTGACAAAATGAATAACAAGATGATGACATACCAGGATCAAAATTATCTCCAAATATTCTTTTAGCTGGAATCTTCAGGTTCATGGTGGGAAATTGCTTCTTTAGCTGAAAACAAAACACATAAAATTGAATTGTGCTTAGACATTAAAGTACCTAGAAATAATTGCATTTTGTTTGTTTTCTGAAGAACAGTTTGAACACCTGATTATTAGTAATTCTGCTCCACTGTGCCATTTCCTCTTCTTATACACATGGGGGAAAAAAACATACTCAGAACAATCTGTACTCAGCTTGTTTGCAATAGACATACCATTTTAAATTCAAAGGCCATCACATCTTCATCTTACAGACTACTAGAGCAATAGTGCTAAATTATTTGCCCCAGGTGAACAAAACAAATTTCAGTGTTGTTCTTATTTTCCTTTTTCTTCCTTCCTCTATCAATTCTCTATCTCTTTTGGGATTTTTTTTTTTCTCTTACTTGCTTGCCTGCTTGCACAGGGCTGTATGCATGTGGTTTAGGATGGGCTGGGGATACAGGCATCTGGGTTTTGTCCAAATTACAAAGCTTTAGAAATCACATGTGGTCTACCCCTACGACAAAACTGCAAACAGATGAACAGTCTATTTTAGGATCATGCACTTGATAATTCAATTATTATTACACTTGATAAACTGACCAGAAGATAGTATACAACAACAACAACAAACTATATATTAAAAAAAAATCCCCAAACCTGACACTAATCATGCTTTGACATTTACTTCACCTTCAAGAGCTCCACAAGAGCAATCTTACTCTCATTCACTTTAAGAGAGTAGTTTTCAAATACAGTAGCTGGCAATTCCTCTTCCCTTAGCAACACCTGTATTTCTTCAGTTAGCAGCACAAGTTCTTTTTGGTGTATATATTGTATGAATTACACTAAAGAGAAACTGAACTAAATGTCTCCTGCTTATGCTTCCCCAGGACCTCACCTCTGGCCATGTTAAAGAGACCAGGGCTGAACAAACTTCAGCAGAGCAAGGCCAACCCGAATGGCAAGAGAACATGGCAAAGGAACAAGACCACCAACGCTCCCTCTGAAAGGAGGATTTTCTGTTTTCACATCCCTTACAGGTTTATCCCTGCAAGATGCAGGCAAAGCATAGTGTGGGGTATCCAGGGGCATTTCAGCTCAAATATTTCCAAGAATACTTCCAAGCTCACAGCCTGTGTTTGGAGACCACTGCTATACGTAAATCCATGCACAGGGAGGCAGAAGAGAGAAGGCCTGACTACTTCCCAGAGAGACAGTGGAAGGGAAGGCACAAATAAGCAGCTGGTAATATTTTAGTATGGGAATCAGAGGAGAATTACTTCAATTTTTGTTAAAACAAAGGGCCTGGTTTTCTTTGAACACTGATCACGGTTTTTTTTGTGCTACAAAACTGCGGATATGAATTTCCATCAACGACTAGAAAATTTCTATAAAGAAACAATGATTTGTTCATTGCTTTCAGTACTTCCAAGAAAAACACTTCTTTTAGGAGAAACATATCTATCTAAATGTTTTGTCGGTTTTTTATCATGAACAAAAGCACATTTTATATGTTTTGACAACAACTAAACTGGAAGTTTCATTAAGCTATGATCCCAAGGAACTATTAAAAACCTGACAAAGAAGTGGATTTTGAGTCTGAAATTCAAACAAACTGAAGTTTAAAAAACCCACTCCATCATTTTCTTTAATTAGGTTCCAATGGTTATTAAATGTTGACTCAAACTCCTCAAGAGAGAATTAACTCAAACCACAACATTGCAAGCATTACTCTGCTATTCTGGCATGATTTCATAGCTTGCTTTTTGCTTACCGTATTGTAGAGTTTATCAAACTCTGCATACCGTCGAAAGACAAACCACTCATTTCTGCCAACAGAGACCAACACTTTGTAAACCTGTAGGAAGAAGAAGTGTTATTGCCCACAAAGCTTAGTAAAACCTCCCAGGTTTAATCTTGTGGTGGAAGTAAGGGCAACTTGCTAAATTTATTGTGTAAATGCACTTATCGAACCATGTACTACTTACAGCTAAGTCACACAGACATCAACAGAAATGATTAAAAAAATTTCTGTAAAGTACCAGAATCTCTTTCTTGTTCTTTTAAACACCAGGTATGCAAAAACACCAAAATTGATTTAGTGGTTTCATAAATTAGTTAATATCCAAAAAAGAACACCTAGCCATCAGATAGTAGTCTATTAAAATTTAGTATGAATTTTTTTAGGAACTCTACAATCCATAATAAAGACTAATAATAAAGAAGAAAAGCATTTAAAAGTACTGAAGATTGCCTTCGCCAAAATCTAAAGAGAAAGTACTTATGGAAAATACAAAGATTCATTTGAACACCTTGAATGCAGAAGAATCCTGGCTGATGGCAAATTGTTCAGGGAGACAAAAATGCTGCTGTGGCTGAAATACAGCCCATTTAACATAATACACAGCACTGTGATGAAGGGAAGTGTAGCTGGAATCTGCTGCACACTTCTGGCCTTTCAAATGCCATGTCACAGAGGACTTCAGGAACTAGACAGATTGTCAGTCCCTGGATTCACAAATCTGGTTGGCAGCTGTGTGTCCAGCAGGCTTCTCCTGTCTCTCAGGAGAAGTTGTCTTCGCTTCTCTACTTTCTTGTACTTCCAGAAGAAGCTCAGCTATTCCTTCAGGGGCGAGGATGGGCACAGTAAGGAAATGAGTGCAGAGCACTGCTAATTCCCAACACAGACAACTGGACCAATGCCCCAGTCTCTTTTCTGCTCTCTAACTCCACAGTGGAAGTAGCAGCCACCACCATCAGTTCCTCAGCCTGAGGGCTGCAGTCACACTGTGTCAATTGCTCACATAAGCTGTTCTCAGTCCCAGGCCCTGGGGAACACAGGAAGCTGGATGGAAGCATCCAGCAGAATGCTGATGAGACATTCTAAGAAAACCCACTTTGCTTTATACTGCTAAACAAGTGTTAGCATAAAACCTACCCCCTCCCCTTCTAGAGCCTCCCTACACTGCAGACAGCAAAAGCTTCAGCTGCAAAACTTAAGCATTGTCCTCCTGAACTGGGTCTCTCATACGGCAACCAAATCCTGCAAGCAATGTTCAAACACAAAACACCTCTGCAAATCAATGCCAACACACTTGAGCAGAGAGCCAAGGTAGCTGGGCAGAACACACAGACAGCAGAGTGCACAGGGAAGCATAACTCAGGATACGAGATGATATTCACCTCCTTGGCAACCGCTAAATTAAAACAGTTCTGTTCTCAGAGTAGCTGTGGAACAATGACACAATCAACATTTTTTACACAAGAGAGCATAAAAAAACCTGTATGAGGTCATTCAATTCACACCACTAACAAAGCTCTTGCACACCCCAACAAAGGAACAGCTGCAAGTGCAACAGTTATAGACAAACTGAGCGGTAAGAAAACACACAATATCTACAAAGAATCTGGTAAAACCTAAAACCATTCCATGTCTGGGCTGTATTACTACTCTCAGCTACACCTATGTAATGATTAGAGAGATGTGCAATCCTTATTTCTGGAAAGGTGGGGGGGAGGAATCTAGACTTAGTTAGATAATAACCTTTTTAAGTCTTAATTATTCCTAATCCAAATTTGGTCATAGAAAACTCCTTAAACATAGATATGATGCATCCCTAACTCATAGTATGTGGGTAAAAACCACAAAGCTTTAATAAAAAAAATAAACAGAATTCCTGAAACTCCCAGATACAGACAGGACAGGATCTAGCTATTTCTGGATGTAGTAGGATTTCTTCACAAAAGAAATCATTGAAATGAAAAGCCTTCAAATCCATTTGTGGTAGTTCGTGCTCCTGGATTAAACACTTGATTTTTATTAAACAAAGGAAAATAAAAAGGTAGGCTGTTTTCCAATTTTGACAGAGCAATCATTGACAAAGTAAGGAAACTGTTTCTTGTCAACAAATAAAAAGAAAATAAAAAACCAAAGAGAACTCCTATCTCCATGGGGCTGAGGATTAGTATTATACATCACAGGTCTGAGACAAAGTTTTCAGATTTAATCAGACCAACAGCACCCTTGAAAGAGATTTTTTAATAAACATGTATATGATCTGTGTGTAAAGGGAGATGAGAACAGGTCAGAAGAGAAAATTAGGCCTCAGACATCAAACAGCACAGGGATAAAAGTGAGAAACCCAAAACAAAGCTATTTGTCAAAACAAGCCAAAGAATGACCTAATATGCAGCAAGGACAGAAAGCAATTAATATAGGCTAGGTATAGTCCAAAACAGGGAAATACTTTACTCATTTTATGGAGAAAGTGAATGCTGAATCTTCAGGAAAATGCAGGACAGCAAACTAGCGTGGATTTACATAGAAGCTGGTTGCCATGAATTGAAAGCAAATTGAGTGAAAGCAAAAGAGGTTCCTTGCCAGAACACCTGAAAAGCGCAAACACGTAATTATTTGGAAAAAAAAAAAAAATTGGTAGTAAATATATCAAAAATATGCAGTATTTAACAAAAGCAAATCAAATGTCCATTAAAAGGTCAAGAAAATGCTCAGGAGGAATGAGAAGTTTGCTTCCAGAGAAAAAACTAAAAAGCTCATTTAATTATCAGAATGACAACTGCTCAGAGACATGATTGTTTTCAAAAATGCTTTATCAGAGTAAATGTGAAGGGAAGAAGTAGAGCTAGCGAAAGGTAAGTTGTACATACTTGTCTTGTTTCCATGCCAGCATTAAGTGAGCCATCAAAAGGTTTGAGCTGAAATTTAGTTTCTATTCAGACCAGTAAGATTCTAGAAGTGTCTCAGGAGCAGCAGTGAGACATACTGCAAGCAATGGTAAGGTGAAGGCTGTACCGCCACCTGAAATCTCTCCTAGCCTTTATCACGCTGACCTTCCTTTTCAGCCCAACTGAAAACCCTTCTTACTGCTCTTTATAGAAATAGCACCAGTGTAGCCATCAAGGAGACAGTTATACCTACCACAAATTTGTTAAGAACTGTTTCCCCCCTGCATCCCTTTCTCACTCCCTGTCAAAGTACTGACGGGATCCTGTCATTACACACAGCTACGGAAGAGGGGACACAGTAACAGCACTGACACATGCTGGAATTCACAGTTCCTACCATGAAGTTTAGTATGACCCTCACTTCTGTTATCAAATCCTAAAATATATGTGATAATATCCAAAAGCTTGGTTGTGAAAGCACTTCTTGTCAAGCTGCTAATTACTCCCTGGCAAAGAAAGCAGAAGCCAGCAAGACGAAGTGTACCTCTGCACAGTGTAAGCTGGGCTGGATTCTTTCCCCCCCTCCTCTCTCAGGCCCCATTTCTGATGTTTCATACAGCTTTCTAAAGGGCACACACAAGAAAGTGCCTTTACACTGCCCAGGTTGTCTCACAGACCTGTAGGTAAAATGACCTGGGAATCACAACATTAGTACATGCTTGGTGTACCACACTGGCATATTTTAACTGCAGAACTGCCAACACTGAGGCAACAAAACAAACCTGTTCTGCTCAAGTTTAGACTGTCATGAAGGCTTTCCCGCTCACCCGAGTTTCACATGAATGCAGAGGTTTAAGGAATTCGTAAAGTTCTCTTTTGCTTATTCCCCTTAGCAGCACACTCCTTCCCCAAGCTACATCTTGATGCACTTGTAGAATTAAACAGCACTGTTCTTCTCTGAGGAAGGGAGGTGAAGAGGAAAAGGAGACAACATAACTCTTAGCAAACCATTGTTTTGTATTCTTCAGACAGCAACTCCATATAAGGGTGCTTGCATTCCTCATCTGAAGAGTGACTAACTCACTCAATGAAAAAAAAAATCTTAGAGAAAGTTGCACAAGAGCAATGAAATAGTTTGAGCCTTCTAAAGGAAGTTTTTTGATCTTGTCATTTAGGATTATATAGAAGCCAAACAAAAATCCATACCACACTACCTTTTTTTTTTTTTCAATGACTAATGCAAAGAATTTCCCGCACAATAGGAAGACTCACAACCAGAAAGTCAAACTGGGAGGCAAAGAAAGGAAGAGAGAGAGAAATGACAAGAAGTGGAAATGGGAACAGGATAGGAAGAAACTCATAAGCATTAGAATCAGAAACAGGAAGGAAGACAGAAAAAAGGTTTCGAAAAAATTTGATGATTTTTTTTTCTCTTTTTTCACAAAAGAATTACAATAGTATAATAGGATATCTGTGAAAGAATGGATGTTAAAACAAACAAACCCCCACAAAGAACCAAATCCACACTTTATCCCTTTACAAAATAAATGTCTTCATGAAAAATCATGTATCAATGCCTAAAATGGTACCAAAATGTTTTCCTTGTACTTGGATATGTAAATATTTTAAACAAGAAAATGCAGCTATTTCGGGGTAAAAATAGCAGAAATTTGTAAAGGCAAGTTCTTTTTGCAGAAAGCAACACAGGTCAACACTGTAAAATACTTGCAACTTTTCACACTGGACTCACAAGAGCAAGGAAACTGATTTCCATAATACTATTGAAAATAATATGAAACTCAGAATAAAAGCAAGCAGCACTGCTAGGCAACAATAGCCTATGACTTTGCCCACTATGCTTGCTCTCTTACATACTTACAGTAAATCTCTTTTTCTTCTCTCTGTGTTCATCAGAGCTGGGAATGCTAACGCTTGGGCAGCTCTCTTTGAGATCCATTTTATGCTTCTTGTGACAAATTCGTTACAGGACCCTGCTTTGGGTGTTGCAATCAGGAGATATCGTCAACGGTACTGATCCAAGATCCGCAGCTTTTCTTGAGAAAACGTGAATTCCATCATGTCATCTTAAAGTGAACATAGAAGGACAATTTAAGTACAGGAGCTCTTAACTCACAGTGCTAAAAACCTGTGTGACAAGAACTTTTGCTGGCAGAAAATGCACATTAATATGCACATATAAACCACAATCATGCCTATTTTGTAAACTTTCATGCTTGTAGTCCTTTCTTGTTCCACTGAAATCACTCACATTCTCCAAGGACACAAATGCATCCAAAAAATCACTGAGCTGTGTAGACATACTGGAAACAGATTTGGGCCCACTGCAGAGAATACTCTGTAGGAACAAAGGGCATGAAGAAATAATTGAAGATGACAACCTGGTATCAGACATCTGAGAAATGCCACTGACTTGTACATTCAGAACAATTTATTTCAATACCAAAGGTTTTCAACTCTATGAGTCTGTACCAGAGGGCACTTCAGATTTGTCAGAACATGCTGAGTTCATTTAAATATCACATCAGAGATTAAAGATGACATGAGAAAAACTGAATTTTCATGTGAATTTAGAGAGGGACACAGGCAGCATCATGTGTCTGTCTGAATATTTACCTTTTCTGCCCCTCTTTCCCCTTCCTGGGCATGCTTTGTGTTTGGCAGAACACAGGGTGTAAGGTCACCCCTTCCCTTTAGTGGAAAAGTTAAGTTTCCTTGCAGAATGTGAGAAAGGCACAACACAAGAGACTGAGAATAAAGCCATCAAAAAGGCAGAAAGCTTGGTGTAAACCATGTGCCTCTTCACTCATGGAAGGACAATATTCTCCACACCTGCCCTGAGCACAAGCACATTATTTACTGGACCCCCTGGTAACAGGAACTTCAGAAATGCTTAGGAGCAGCCAAAATTAATGCTACATAGCTACAACCCTCTGTTTGGGCCTGCACAGCACATCCATCTGAACTGCTCTGCTGAAATGCAGCACAAGATGTGCTTAGAACAAGACGTGTCTGATCAACTTACAAACATGAGAAGAGTGTTTCAGAAAGAGGGGGACCTCAGTTCTCTTCCAAACAGCCAGAGGAAATAGGAGCACACAGTTCAACATTAACTCCCTATTTTCTTATAACAGGGAAGTATAAAAGTGAACTCTGTATTTCATATCATAAATTTCCAAAAAGCACAAACTAATCCCATGCAATTCTGCTATTAGAGAGACACCCATATTTATGTTGGCACAAAGGCCAAAGCTCCTGGAATCCAGTGAAAAGATTTGTTCTTGGTACCCAACTAGTCTCAGTCAGTCAACTGACTGTTTTTCTTGCTCTCAAGAGTCAGATCATCAAACTTCATGTTGTTATTTCTCGTCTTTCCATTTAAAATTCAGTTAATTTTCAAAGATCTAGCTGATGACTTTAACAAAAAGGAATGTTTACAACCACTAAAGGAATGTTTACAATCACAGCCAAGTGATAGATCATCCATACTGCAAGATATTCAGAAAATTATTTTTAGCTACAACTGCATTTACCTTAATTTGATTGTTCCCTTCTTCACCAATTAGGTAATTACAGTGTTGAGCAGTAAGCTTCTCCCCACCTTTATTTTTTTGACTAGAACACAGTTCATTCAAGCCAGTTACACAGACCATGAGTTTCAAATTGGTTTCTATTTTCCTTTGGAAAGCTACTGTTAAAAGCTTTATTGCAAGGCACACCTTCCACAACTTTATACCAGCATGAGATTAAGAGTGTTCCTTTCCCATTGCCACATACTAAAATTGAGACGTAAAGGTTAACTGAGCTCCTCTCCATCATAAGAGCTCCACTAAAACCACTTCCAGTAAGTGTTTCACTAAGTTTAGACTTCACTAAGTCTAAGCTTTACTTTACTTAGTGCTTTACTAAGCACTTGTGTCAATCTTTAGCCACTTCAGGTCCAGTATCAGGAACTGAACGTAAGCCCCTGTGTTTTATCTGTCTTACTGCTCATCACAGAAAAACAAGTAAAGCTTTAAAATGGATTAGGTGTTCCCTGATTAATATCACTCACTGTCCTTCTCCTTTTGCAAACCAACATTCGTTACAAAGGTTTCCAAGATGCCCGCACTCATTTTCACAACACAGGCTGTATTTCTCTCATCCCTTCAGTTTCTTATTTTTAGTGTTAGAGTTTTAAATGCCAGTACAGGAGCCGTATGGATTAAAAGCTGTAGTCTTGGAAGACTGAGCTTTATTTCAGATCTGAAGTTGAAAGATCTCTAAAAAACAAAAGGAGGAAGTGTCAACCAGATTAATTCAGGAAGAGTTCATCTTACTGGAAAGAAGAAGAATAAATCATCCGAGAAGCTAAAACTGTAATGTTCACATTTCTTTCTGTAAGCTGCCTGGAAGATCACTGGCTGTGATTATTTTCTTTCCCTGAGGCATCTCCTCTGAGCCGTGCCTGGGTCACCAATGCTAAGCTGAACTGACAAACTTGGAAGAACTGCATTTTCACTTTGCCACTAAGCTCCAGCAGATCAGAGCTTTCTTTCAATTTCTATTTGCCTCAAGCATATCAGCTCCTGAGAGCTTCTTATATCCGAACTGTAGGTCTGACTAAAGAAATAGAGACAGACTTGCCTTAATCTTTACCATGCTACAGGTCAGGAACACAGCTGTAGTTTAAATAGCATGTAAAACCACTAATGCTGTGATAACTACATTAAGTAATAATGGAGAGAAAACAGCAGAGACATTTTTATCCACAGCTGTGAAAGTGGAAATTGCAGCATTTTGAAGGATTCCAGGTACAAGTTGAGTTTAACAGACACTGTCAGCAGAGACATCTTTACCTCTGGTTACAGCATTTCCTGGAATTAACAACAAGCAGCCCCTCGGCTCAACTTTGCTAACAGACCAAAAGGGAAGGGAACTTCAGAAAAGCACATATCGAAGTAAGTCCCCTCAAATCAAACTTGACCACCAGTGAAAGATGTGATAATGTAGACAACCTGCAAGACAGATAAATGCTGAGACCAGTGTTGTCCAGAAACAGCTAAAACTTAAGCTGCTACAGTATGGAGACCTGGAACAGGACGAAACACAGAAAAAGTCAGAGTAGATCAGAAGTCACCAGTCCTCCTGGCACAGTTTCAAGCCTATCAACAGTTACACTGTCCATCCTCTCCATGGGGGCTGTCAAAAAGCCAGCAGTATTTTCACTGTTTCCTGCAGGAAGCCACAACAACATCAATCCTCAGGCTGACCCTTGCCTGCAGTGAAGCAAGAGCATAGCAATAGCAGAACCCTGACACCATGAGAGCATACACAAATCTACTACACCCACAAACGACTATAAAATCTTCTGTGCAGCCTAATACCTGCATACAACAGGCAAATAAGACATAGTTTAGCAGCATGTGCCATCCTCCTTTTACTCTCTTCTACATAAGTAAACTGTATTAGAAAAGGTTTCTGAAGTTTAATTAGACTATTTTATTCTGGACTGAAACATTTTCTATTCTTTTTAAAATGGTAATGGCCTGTATAATCAATAGATCTTTTTCTGGGTGTTTATGCTTCAGCCTCTGCCTAGAATGTCCAAGGCTAGATTAGGTAGCTGTGTGCTCACCTGGCACCTCTCCAGCTGCTGCCACATTGCCGTAAATACCTCTAAGGCCAGGGCAAATCACACTCACTCTTTGAGTAACACAAGGGAAGCTGAGACAAGAACAGACAAAACTCCCAAAAGACTCTCCCAGCAAGCACGTTTGGACGAATCACCAGGATCCATATCCATTGGAACAGAACACTGGAACAGTGTATAGGCACTTCCCTATACACTAATCATCTACCCTGAAGGACTTAGTTTGGGGCTGAGTCATCATTAAACCAGCTGCTGAAAACCTCACCTGTGATACCAGTTACAGAAGCAACTTGCTTATAAAGAAACTGAAAGCAAGGTACAGGAGGCAGTCCTATTATTCATTATAAACACTACCTTAACACTTCTAACTTTAGAGTAAGTATCAACTTTGGCACACTTTTCATCACTTCCTCAGTGTTCTCCACAGACACACAGAAAATGGCTCAACATAGTACCTTACACAATCTTGGAGAAAACCCAGAAAATCAACTTTTTCTCAACCTCTCTATGGAGAAATAGTGTCCCTGTCTTGTTACCAGATAGGCAGCTGACACACAGGAAATAGAAGACAAGATATTCAGAATCCAGTGCAACAGAAATACAGGATGACGGACTGTATGTGAAATCAAATGCTTCAGAAAAAGTCAAAAGCAGAACACAGACTGCTAATATGTGAAGAGACAGGGATGGCCAGAAGCTGTTCAATAACAAGGTTCTGGAGAAAACAGGTTTCATTCACAAAAGACATCCTTTTAAATATCACATTACACACAATTTTTAATACAGTAACACTAGACACCAGGGTAGACCTCTAGCAAGACTTCACCTGAATGAAAAAAAGAGAGCACTAACCAAAATACTCTAGTCAATCCTTGGCTTATCTCCACACTCCCTTCTAAGAAAAATTTGAGGGAGTTGAGAATTCAGCCACTGGTATAAAGAAAAAAGCCTGCTCCCTGTTTACACATCCACCCACTACCTAGCAGTTTTAAAATTTCTAGTAGCACCACTCCTCTGCAGCAACATGGGCAAAGTCCAATTCAACTGAATCTTTCTATTTAGAGGAAAGGACTGCAAGTAAAGTGAAAATGCAACCACAAGAATGAAATAGGTAATTACCCTCTTTTTGTCTCTATCAAATTTACTTTGGAGAAGTCAGGCAAACATTAACTTCCCACAGCTGTACTGCACCCAAGAACATCCCTTCAGCCCCACCTCCCAAAAGACTCTCCAATAAATTACTCTTAAACTGGCATGTAACAAGATTCATGGCCTGGATTAGACCTATTTGCATTCATATTTATTACATGACGGAACACAGGTTCTCTGCTGTGGTAAGCAAACCCTGAGTAATAAAAGAACAAATATTTAAGAACAAATAGAGGCAGCTGTCTTTTAATCCTGAACACATCTCTGCAATTATTTCCACTTTAGCCTGTGTCCACAGTATCCACAAGGGCCACTACGTGCCTCAGATGGTTCAATCTACACAAAAAACAGCGTATATTAAAAAAATCCAGTTTGTATTACATTTGCTACCTGCACATTTCTTGGTGTGCTTTCTCAGTCTGCCTACACAAGGTCCAATTAAATTTTAAATGTAGATGCCTAAGGATAGCACAGCTCAAGAATTGCAGCAACAGCACCATAAGCTACTTTGAAGAGGTCTTACAGACAGCTGACAGCAGCCACCTGCAACATAGTCAGTTCTACATAAGAGGGCAGTCAGACTTCAGTGAACACCAAGCAAATAATCCAGCCTCGTTTCACCCCTCTGGATAAAAATTAAACAAGAGAACATCACATTTCAATTCCAGATATACTGGACATGTTCTACATGACCTTCAACAGAAGTCACCAACTGCTCTCCCTTGGTTTCACTACATAAATACAGAATTCCAATCTGTTTAAGACGGATGTTACTGCTAACGCATTGAATATGTAGAGAATTCTGGGATTTTATGTACTGTAATCGGCAAAAGGGTAAAATCCATATAACAGAATATATAGCTGGATAATAACATAATGAAATATATAAATCCAAGCTACAGGCCACAATCCAGAAATCACACTTCTGAAATCTGTGCCTTACAAAATTGATGGCTGCCTAGAACCACGAAGCTGTTGGATGAAGAAAAGATAACAACTTAAACACTGGAATATAAAAGGTAAGCAAGAGAAAGACCCTTTAGCAATATACAAACTGCATATCCAGTTCACCCACCGCCAGTTAGTTGATTCATCATGTTACATCAGTGCAACCACAGCAAGTATTCTATGTCCATTCTTCAGGAACAGTTTACAGACTCCCACAGGTAAGAGCATACACTGAACTCTTATATATTCATTTCTGTGCTCCACAGAGAATGAGAAGGTGCAGTTTGTAAGGATTCACAGATTAGTGGCTTATGCACAGAAAACAAAATTTGGTGCAACAACATCAGATGTGGTGAGGCTGCAATTTACATCACAGGTGGGAATTCGAGGCTGGAAAGCAATTTTAAAACATTATGCTGTTATTATTATTATTATTATTATTATTATTATTATGTTACATTATCATGTAACCATTAGTGCCTACTTCTTCAGCTTTGACAAGGTTTTTAAAACAACCAGTACTTCTCACTGACGTGGGCACGTCAACTGTGCTGCATTTCTGATCTAAACGAGGATCTCAAAGTATATCTCAAGAAATAGGTCAGTTTTCTAGCTTTAAGTAATACCATGTATGGAGACTACCTTAATAACACTGAACTTTCCAAAATGCTTTCCAAAACCTAGTAACAATTTTTCCTGAAATCTAAAGTATCTTAAAGCCTTCAGGAAAATACTCCTCCATATGCAGCTTCTGTTTTTACCATTAGTTCATATTACAGTCATTGAAAAGACTGATGTGCAGGTGAAGGAAAAAAAAAAAAAAGCCAGAACTATATTTAGACACTGAGACTGAAACAACACTACTGTTAGAAGAATTCAAAATAGAGTAACATCAACCCTTAAAAAGACAGTCTCATTCTGTGTGTGTCTCTAAAACCTGGAATGTCTGAAAGAAGTTATAAACAAATCTGAGCTACAAGGATACTGCAGCAAGCGATATTCACAGAAATCTTCAGTGCAGGAAGAACCATAAGGGCATTCAGGTGACACTGCTGTGCTGTGATGAAATGCACTACCCGCATGACAACGTATTCTAAGTTTAATGGGGGAATAAGAAAGGAACATTTAATCCTGCAAAACTACTGCACGTTTAGAAGCAGCAGTTACACCTTTATGAGCTGCTGGAGGAGAAAAACTCACATAAACACGCACACAGAAAACAAATGGACGAGCTGTCAAAAGAGCTTTAGCCATAATATTTTACAACAGCCTTTTAATTAACCTCCACAAAATTAAATTCCTCAAGGGTACCTGAATCCCGACAAAGTAGCGTTGCCTAAGACGCTTCAGTGCTTCTCTCCAGAAACAGCTCCACGTCCTGGCTGCGAAGCACTCGAGGAAGGACGAGAACGACCGCGTAGAAGCCGTCCCGGTTCCCCTCCCTGGGTACCACGGACCCGCACCTACCTCCTCCTCCTCCTCCTCCTCCTCCTCCTCCTCCTCCTGGGAG